TATATATACACATAATATATATAGTTATTATATATGTATATAGATGTGTGTAATTTTACTCTAAGTGTATTTTTATATTAATATTTATACATACATATAGATATAATATGTCACTGGCTGCGAGTAGGGGCATGTCACCTAAACACACCCCATAGGTTTTAATGCGAGGGGTGGGGGTTAGGAACTAATATTTATTACAAGGAGGGAGCTGGTAGCGCTGCCAGCTCCCTCCTTGCTATTTTTCTGCGCATACGCAGTGGGGGTTAATTCCCCTGCAGAATGGAGTCTATTAAACAAAATGAAAAGGTAATGCATTTGGCATTTGCCCTTTCGTTTATATTAATATGTAGGGCTTTCGTTTACGTTTTAGTAAACAAATACGAAAAAACCTAAATTTTCTGACAAAATCATATTCGTATGAAAACGAATGCACATGTCTACTATCAGTAGTGTACACACAATCCATAAGACCCCGGTGCAAACCTGATCCATGGGTTTCCCCCATCCCCCCCCACCCTGCACCCAAACAGACACACACAGAGATACATACATACAGACACACACAGACAGACAAACATGCATATAGACACATACATAAACACATACATACAGACACATACACTAACACACACACATGTAAAATATTTTAGTCACCCTCCTATTACCTAGCTTTTAGGTGCAGGAGGGTGACTTCCCAGGGGTCCAGTGATTCATGTTGATGGGAGTCAGTGTTCCCACTCTGACTCCCTCTGCTTACTCCCACGCGGCTCCTGGTGGTTGCTTGGAGGAGTGACCAGGGCATTCACTTCCTCCCAGTGTCTGACATCATCAGAGGGGGCCCGGTCGCTCTGTTACCGGGCCCACTCTGATGAGGATCTTCATTTCCATCGCGTGGCGCTAACAGCATGGGCCACCCGATGGGCCCGTTCACCTGCGGCCCCGGCAATTATACTGCGCAGTCGGGGCCGTAACACATGGCGGCGGGCACCCGATCGCAGGGGTCCGCAGGGCGGCCGGGTCCCCTAGAGTGACGGCCCCGGTCACAGCTGCGACC